AATTCTGCTATTTGTATTGATATTTAAGAAACTTATTTTGTCTCACTTTCAGATTCATTAACATTATCAGCATTGTTTAAAGAATTACTTTCAGCATTAAGTAAAGGTGATAATGTAAACTTAGAAACTCCTTTTTGTGTCTTTATTTTTGTCTGATTTCCTTGCACTTTTTCTTTAATAATTTGTAAAATCTTCGCCTGTAAAATTAATACCATTATATGATTCAGATTCATTTTCTCAGTGAGAACAACAAATATGCTGAAACATTAATTAATATAATAAACATGTTAAGTTTAAAAAAGTTTATCATTAATAATTTTTTTACCACTGTAAAGATCCGTAATACTTCCCTTACCTCGTTTCCATCAGGATGAATAAGAATAATTTTAACCATATGTTTTTTTCTTAATGCTTTGTTAATATTTCTTATCTTTATATCTAAATCATGATCATTAATGTTACATTTGAAATTGAACAGCTTAGTGGTCTTCCACTTTGTGTTACTTTCATTTACTTTTGTTTTTTTATCATCATCTTGGTCTTTATATTCAATGGGATTTATAAGTTTGTAAACACTTCTATCACTTTTATGATTACTATCTGACACTTCTATTAATTCAAGGTGTCGCCGTTTAGCAAGCTTTTCTGCTGCCTCTAATAAAGTAACAGATACAGAGCTATTTGGATGTATAAGTGTAATTTTAGAAACTCTTGCAGTCTTTCTTTTGTATTTATTTTCATCCATTTCTGAGTTATTCACATAAAATGAACAAAATTTTATCTGGTGTTGCAAGAAATTATATTGAACACAATAACTTATTCTATCATTTCTACTTAAAAGTGAATTACTCATATTAAATATGAATTTAATCATTTTTGCAAATTGCAACATTGTTAGTTGTTTCCAATAATATTGAAGTATAAGATTACTTAATATTGATTTGTGGAACTAAAAGTGAATAGAAATTTAAGATTAAATTTATTGTTAATTTAACTATTTAACAACTAAAAACATAATTCTAACACTTTTAGTTGTAATAAATTATATTTAACAGGTTAGGTTTCAAGTCTGAATTTTGCATGTTATTCATGTTTCGAAAATATAAATTATTTCA